ATTAACAATTATATAGGAATGGCAACGAGGTGAGTTTAGGGCAAGTCACCCATCCCTGTCCCTACCCCATAGTCAAGACACTCTACCCCATTCCTACCTTGTCCCCAATGTCAAATAGGTTTAGGGCAAGGCACCCACTCCCTGTTAGGGATGAGGAATCTAGAATTTCCTCGCTTCGTCCTCAATGTCGGACGAGTTTAGGGCAAGGAACCCACTCCTCATCAAGGATGGGGAATCCTTGAATTTTCCCTACCTTGTCCCCAATGTCGGGCAGGTTCAACGCAAGGCACCCACTCCCCACCAACCCAATATTCAATTTGATGATGAAAGTGATCAAAAGGATATACTGAGTATCAACCACATGGTAAATTTCTAAAAGTACACTAAATTGTCTTTAATTTTCAAAAATGTAATTTTATGAAAATTTTGGAAAAATTATTACATTTGTGTAATTTTGAAAATTTATTTAAATTAATTTTTAAATTGCTATTAAATAATTTATTTTTAAATGGTTTACTTACAGAATTACACTAATTTGTCTTATATTTTCTAATATAAACTAATAAATAATTTCCTTTTTCTAATATTATACTAATTTATCTTAATAATTTGTGTAACTATTGGTCCAAATTAAGTTTTCCCTTTCCCATACTCATTTATCTTTAATAATTTTCAATAATTTACATTGAAAATTACATAATTTTTCAATGGTACTTTTCCAAAATCTAACAAATGTAATAAATATTGTTCCTAAAATTTCCCAAAATATTCCAATAATTTTCAATAATTATTTAATACATTTCAAATAAACTTTAAATTTTTTTCCAAAAGTACAATATTATATCTTTTAATTTCCAAAATGTTATTTTACAAAAATGTAGTTTTATGAAATTTTTTGAAAAAATTATTACATTTGTGTAATTATGAATATTTATTGAAAATTATTTTAAATTTTTATTAAACATTTGTTTTAATTAAGTACTTTAGTAACAAAAATACACTAATTTATCTTTTCTTTTCCAATATATATTAAGTCATAATTTCATTTCCCAACTTTATAGTATTTTATTCCCCCATCTAAATTCGACTATTAACTATAATAATAGCAATGACTAAAATTTTATACTTTTTGATAATTGTTAAATATAATTCTTAATTTTATAGGAATTAGTTAAAGAGTTTTTGATTTCTATAAAACGTTGTTAATTAACATGAATATAGCAGTATTTACCCAAAATACTTTGAAAAGTCATGATGAGTTCATTAATAACAATATTTATTAATTTTTGGTAATTTACTAACCGTACTAATAAGAATATTTAATTTTTGGTAATTTACTAACCTATTTATTAACTTTTGGTAATAGCACTATTTAATACTCATTGAATATAGGTTGAATTAAATATTAGTTGTATTTAATTATTTATTAATTATTATGAATATTTTAAATGAGAGAGAGTGGATATAGACTGGTGGAGAGATTTTAGGAATTGATCGAGAAGTAGGGTAACATGATACATTCCTAATGACTTAGAGGAGACATCTTAGGGAAGAGATTCTAGGAATATTTTAGGTAGTTGGGTTGGGAATGGTGACATGACTTAATGGGAGTGGTGGGTAGGGGTGTCAACGGTATTCAAAAATCTAATTTCGAATCCGAGATTCGACATAATCGAACCAGATTCAGATAATATTCGAATTTGATCAATTATTTAATTTTTATATATAATATATAAAATATTTAAATGTCTAATATAATTTACATATAATAATTAAATTATATGAATAATTTATATATTTATATACTTTATATAAATAAAATATTTATTTTATATATTTATTAATTACCTAATTAATCGAATTCAAATTCAGATGTTAATTTTCAAGATCCGTCAGATATCGAATCGAATTCATATATCGAAATTTCTAACCGGATTCGAATTCGGATATTGCTTGATCTGATTCGAATTTGATCCATTTACACCCCTAGTAGTGGGAAGGGGAGAGGAGAAAGAGTCAATGAGAATGAAGAGTGGGGGTAATGGAGCAAGGAGAGGCATGCTGATGTGGACCATCTTGCTATATATATAGATAGAGAGAGAGAGAGAGATTTGGTTAAATTATATTTATTTAAATTCCAAGCCTCAATTAATTCTAAAAAGTTTTAATACTAAAAAACAACGTTTTAAAAAACAAATCGTTCTGGCCATTGGTTTCTAGGTCAACAGTCCGACCACCTTGTTCGAATGGACGACCCATTCTGATAGCAAAATTAAAAATAATTAAAAATAAATAAAAAATTAAAAAGCGGTCAAAACCGTTGAACGGGTCGACGGGTTGACCACCCGAGTCAACGGTTTGTTGACATTTTCAATGGTTTTTTACCAGATTTCGGGTTTTGGGTAAAACGGAACCGATTGCCTAGACGGTTCCTAGGTCGAACAGTTTGACCATCTGGGTCAACGACGGTTCTAAAACATTGCTAAAAAATGTTAATTTCTAAACGCCCAATGATATGATACATATTCAAATCCAACTTGATAAACTCCCATCCATTTGCAACTGCATAATCCCTATAAAAATATAAGATTCCTAAAAATCGGGTAAACTATAGATTACCACAATACTTTGGAGGTAATGATACATAGGCCCTAAATTTTTATATGTGACAAAGATTATAAAGTTTTGCCCCCATTTGTTAGCCTTTGGGTAGTTAACTTTGAAAAAGACTTTCATGTGATTTTTTGTGCTTGTTAAACTGTTTAAAATCTCTAAATATCCTTAATTTGTGAGACCATTGATCCTTTTCTCTTACATATTTTAGGGTTTAGAAGCAAAGTAAGCAAAATAGAGATATATCATTTTTTCTTCTCGTTATTATTATTATTATTATTATTATTATTATTATTGAAATTATTTACTTGCCCTTTACCAATCTTGAAATGCTTTTAGGACATTCTTTCATCAATCTAATTAGGATGTATTTGATTTGAAAGAAAAAAGTAGGAAAAGGAAGAGAAAGGTAAGGAAACCTATACAAGGTTTGTTAAGGTTTTTTCTGCTTTTATCATTCCTTTCCATACTTCTATTATTTCAAACCAAAACACAATGCTAGGGGCGTCAACGGTATTTGAAAATCCAATTTTGAAATCGAGGTTTGACATAATCGAATCGAATATAGATAATTCGAATATTTAATCGATCGAATTTGGATATCCTATTTGGTGGAGAGTAAATCATTGACTTCCCTACTAGAGGACAGCTCAGACAAACAATAGATGAGGTTGGCGGACCGATCGACAAGACACGAGAGATTAGAGTACTCAGGGGTTTGGACCTGGGTTGAGCACTCCAATGCTTAAGTTAGTTGAGGTAGAAAGCAAGAAAGATGGGGAATTCAGAAGGCAAGAGAGCTGGTTTTTTCACTTAATTGTGTGTGCCTTGTGAAGGCATGAAGGTACCTTTTTATAGGCCTTGGGGTCCAAGAGCCTTATCGACTTGTTACATTCGGGGCACGTTGCACCGACATTGGCGATGATCCTCATTCAATTTCTCCAAAGCATGTGGGGATCGGGGTCATCCCTATTAGGTGGACGGTGTGTTGTCATATGTTTCAAAACTGATAGGCATGCTAACCAAATAAGGACAACCCACCATGTAGGTTAGTACCTTGGAGGTCGATTGGCTACTAAGTAGGGGTGTTAACGGTATTCAAAAATTTGATTTCAAATTCGAGATTCGACATAATCGAATCGAATTCGGATAACTTGAATATCTAATAGGTCAAATTCGGATATGACCTGATTTGATTCGATAAATATCTGAATTCAACCGATTATTTAATTCTTATATATAATATATAAAATTTCTAAATGTTTTATATAATTTATATATAATTAAATTATATAAATAATTTATATATTTATATAAATAAAATATTTATTTTATACATTTATTAATTACCTAAAATAATTAATTAGTCAAATTCGAATTGAATCGAATTTAAATTCGAATATTAATTTTTGATATCTATCGGATATCGAATCAAATTCAGATATTGCCTGATCCGATTTGAATTTGTTTCGTTTACACCCCTACTACTCAAGTTGTTAGCTGCCCAGGTCGAAGAGGTAAAGATGACACCTGAAGTCATCGACTTATTCTTTTGAAGTGATGTTCTCTTCTCTTTCGTGGAGCGACCTGCTAGTCTTCCATCGGTCAAGATGTAGGTTGGGTTGGTTGGCTTGGACCAATTTGGTTGAGTGTGGCTTGCCTCCATGTGGTGCCGAGGTGTCATTTAATGGTTTGGGCTTGCCACGTGGCTCTTCATAATTGGTCGCCAGATCACCTCTCATCACTATTCGTGCTAATTAGCTAATCAGATTTAAATTCGGATATATGACTTGATTCGATTCGATAAATATCCAAATTTAATCGATTATTTAATTCTTATATAATATATAAAATATTATTATTTTTTATATAATAATTAAATTATATAAATAATTTATATATTTATATAGTTTATATAAATAAAATATTTATTTATATATTTTTAATTACCTAAAATAATTAATTGGTCAAATTTGATAAAATCAAATATTCAAATATTAAATTAAATTTAAATTCAAATTCAAATATTAATTTTCAATATCAATCGAATATTGCTTGATTCGATGCGTTTAGACCCCTACACAATGCTAATGAAGAATTGAAGAGGGAGCAAGGTGTTAAAATCTTAAAAACGAAGGAAGGGACTTTTGCAAGTGAAAGTTCGGGCGGCTACCCTAAAGTGCAGATTTAACCCGTGCAGGGTGATAATCTGTAAATAACCATAAAAAAACTAGGGTATTAGTGGGCCATCGGCTTAATTTAACCGATGGGCTCCAACTTCCAAGTCGAATTTAGCCATCCAATTTAGGGTCAACTATACAGGCCTAATCTGTTATGGCCCAGCCCATTTAGAACGCTAAGCAAAACCCTAGTCGACTAGTTCCATCATTCCATGTATATAATCTTTTCCCTCAGCAGTTGAACTCCATTCGTCCGCCTGCTTTTACAAAGAGAAAATAGCAGAGGCACCGCCGGTCGCTCGCTCCCCCCTCGTTTCGGTTAGTTCAGATATTCCTTCCCCCTCCCCGGGTCCCTAGAACAGATAAAGATCAACCTTTCATTTTTTTTGTTGTCAATTCAACATTAGTTTTTGGAACGAGTGGATGACTTATTACTGTATGCGCAGAGAAGCAGCAAGGAACGAATTAAATCATGGCATACGCGGCGATGAAGCCTACAAAGCCAGGTTTGGAGGAACCCCAGGAGCAGGTTCACCGCATCAGGATAACACTCTCCTCTAAGAATGTGAAGAATCTCGAGAAAGGTCTTCTCACTTCCGTCTATGCAGAACCCACTTAGAATTAACTGTTTTTATTTATTATAACGATTGGGTTTTGATCTATCACGGGATATGATTGAGATTTACAGTATGCGCGGATCTGGTCCGTGGTGCCAAGGACAAGCGGCTAAGGGTAAAAGGACCGGTGAGAATGCCCACCAAAGTTCTTCACATCACTACTAGGAAGTCTCCCTGTGGTGAAGGTAGCTCATCGCTCCTAACTAATGCTTTTCAAACTCCTCAACTTTTGTTTTTTTTGTCATCTTGTTACATTTGGTGTTATTCATAAGTTTCTACGTTCTGGTATTGAAATGTATATTGCTATTGACTTCAGATTGAACTTCAAATTACCTCTAGCTTTATATGAACTGTAGGTTATGCTTTCATTTATTGTTAAAATAGATAGGATCTTAATTTCCTTATATGAGAAAAATGTGTGTTTTGGGTTAGGGATTCTGACATGTTCATATTCCCTTAGGCTGCGTTTGGTTGCATTGGCATAAATGCGTGATAGTGCAAATAGGCTGAATGTAAATTATGGGTTACTTTTGCTTCATATTTGACTTTGTCTTGTATGTCTGTAAAAATTAAAATAGAAAGTAAAATGGCGTGGTCACACCTTGTATGCAAGAGAATGGAGGTAGGGGGACCGGAGGAGGGTTATTGTTTGGGAGTGGGGTAGGAAGCAAGATGATGAAGTCTCCACTTGTTATGGAGAGGGACTTAAGGCTCCGTTGGGAAAGAGTGCAAAACCCGGTTTGGTGCATAAATGCACTCTGGGCCACTTTTCCTTCTGTTTGGTAAAGGTGTGAAAGAACCCCGAAAGTCAAGGGAAATATGCAATGTTGTCAGTACTTCCCTTGATTTTGAGGCGTAATTGTACATTGAAATTTTAGAAACAAACCTGGGTTCTCATTTTCCATTGACGGAAATAGAACACTGACTTGCTCTCTCCATTGCCCCTTGTCTCCGAGGAACTCCATGATTAAGCATCATTAACGGTTACCTTAATGCATCTCTTTCATCAAAGCGGCTGTTGCTTCTGTTGAGAAGAAAACCATAAACCCTCTCACAAACGCCTCTCTCGCTGTTGTCTGACAACACAAATTCGTCATAACACCTGTGATTATCACCTCCTTAATCCCCCTATCCACCAAATACTCCTCCAACCCCGTCCCTTGAAACACAGTGTAAGTGTTCTTTTTGACCACCTTGTTGCTGCCCTTCCATCCCAACTCAGGCTTTGGCTCTGCCTCCACCATCCCATCGATGATCAGATTGTTGTTCCACCACTCCCCCGACATGTGGCAGTGGTGGGTGAGGATTACTGGCACTGAAACACTTCGATAGAGATCAACAATCATGTTGATGGTGGGTAGAAGCTTCCCATTTGATCTGGGTTTCTCTTCCTGTTCTTGAATTTCTTGTTAAGAAGAGTACAAATCCCCTATCTGCCGAGACAAACAATAGTTCTCCAACCTTTGAAGGCTCTGATCACAGTTCACAGACCGAGGTTAGCTCACTTGTTCAGGTTTCTACGTTCTAAGTTTTCTATACAAGTGGGAAAAACCCAAATTACACATTTATCCCTGTCTTTCTAACAAATTACTAGAACTTGTTTGTGACCAACACGTATACGAAGATGGAACCATTAGATTGGAATCATAATAGATCATCCCTTACAATGTCAAAATGTTCTAGAACAGGCTGGAGGGCTGTGTGATTCTCTTCTATCCAATTAAATTGAAAAGTAGAGAGCAAGCAGATTGTAATGTAAAAAATTTCCCAAACACCTGCAAATGTGTGGCGCTGGTTTCCGCTCTTCCCTGCGAAACTGGCCTAAACTTTGCATTTATCTGAACTAATAGAAATTGCATTTGCACTTTTCCCAAATGAAGGGTAAGGTAAGAGGAAGGTTGTTACGATCCATTTGTCCCAAGTTGGTAGTTTGGGATACTAATGTGAGGTATCCCACATCGGTAGTATGGGATGCTGTTGTGGGGTATAATGTGCTTGGGTTCCCTCTAACAGCTAGCTTTTAGGGGTGAGTTCTCCTAAGGCACCTAACATGGATGCTGTTGTGGGGTATATATGTGCTTGGGTTCCCTCCCTATAACATCTAGCTTTTAGGGGTGAGTTCTCCTACATATATATATATATCAGAGCCTACACTATGCCTCCCAGTTGCAATCGTGTGGTGCAAGTGGTGATGTCAGTATTGCGGTGTTTGACCGGGACTAGGTGGGCTAGTGCAAAGCCAGCCTGTGTGGGCACTGGGATTGCAGAGCGTGGTGGAATGTTACGATCCATTTGCCCCATGTTGGTAGTATGGGATGCTAATGTGAGGTATCCCACATTGGTAGTATGGGATGCTGTTGTGGGGTATATATGTGGTTGGGTTCCCTCCCTCTAACAGCTAGCTTTTAGGGGTGAGTTCTCATAAGGCACATAACAAAGGTGGTGCAAATTGTGCATTAGTTTTTAAGGCTTGATTTGGAAGGAGTACAAATACAAATATGTAGAGTGCAAAACCTTGTATTTTATATTATTTTGTATATATTTGTAGTGTACATATTTGTATTTGTTCTCTTTCCAAACTAAGCCTAAGATGCAAAATTTACACTGCTAATAAGTGCAAATGAAACAAAAGGCATAAATTTGAATCAGGTAGAAGTGCAAATCATAGTTACATACAAGCAGATGCAAAACTGAACCAGGTGCAAGATTTGTACCTGGATCAGATTTGCACTGCAAACAAATGCAGCCTTAACTGTTCTATTGCAAATACACATTATACATGTCTTTCCAAGATTTTACCACTACATCAAGCCATAGCCCCTTTCTTCTGAATATCATTAAGGTTCTTTAGTAAAGGTTAATATGGCATCAAATAAACCTTCTATATTCTGCTATGTTTCAAGCGTATGAAGTTTTTTTCTTCTATCAGCTATTTCCTCACTTTCAGGATGTTGCTGAATTTTATAACTAAGGAGCTTTTGTTGTACCTGTTTCTTTCTATGCTGCACATTCCTTTGTTACTTTTTATTGAATTGTTTCCATTTTCATTTGTTTTACAATATTTTATGTATTCTTGCCTCCACAAGAAGACATATATTCCTCCATTTGATCTCCGTACAGATTGTCTTCCTTGTGCTTTCATTATATATAAATAAATGGGGGGGGGAGGTTCAAGACATTTATTATTTATATTTCTTTAATATTTTATTATTGCCGATTAAAATGAGTTACAACTATACAAGTAATGGAGGGAAAAATTTTTAAACAGGGTTATGTTTATGCTCTCCTAAGGAATGTTTTCCTATGCAATTTCAAGATATTGAGTTTCTTTTATAAGGCTCACTTGATGAGTGAGTTCTTTTATAAGGCAGTTGCTATCAAGCAAAGAGCTGTTATAACATCAACATGATAGTGAAAAGTGAAATGAAATTGCATTTCGAACCCAGTTCTTTGAAATTCAAATGCCATCTCCATGAATTCTAAAATCATCCAAAACAAAGAGCTGGTTAAAATCTACTGGTTTCCCAAGGTGGTTTTTGCTAGCATGGTTGGTTGTCATGGCACAATTTGGAGGAATATGGACTTCACAATGATTTGGTTTTCAATTTTTTTTCAAAAATATCTTAAATGATTGGATTTAAAAAACCTCACAACTAAACATGAATGGTGAACATATTTTGTTGATAATAAATGATTTCAATTTTCAAATTTGGAAAAGAAATGAATAAAACAAAACCAACCATGTTGGTGAAAACCTCGTACATCTGCTTTGCCACGAAGGTGATCCAAAATGGTAGAATTCCAAAACTTGATGAAATGGTAATTATAAAAAAAACTTAATGAAATTGTCTCCTTGAATTTTGTGCATAATTCTTTTTCACAATTCACAACCTAAGTTCAATAATTAGGGGATTAGAGATTGATGTTCATGGTCTTTGACAGAAATATTCTCTCTACTATTTTGAAAACGAGGTGAAAGAGGTAATCAAATTGATTATAAGACAAACTAGTAATCAAGTTACGTTTTTATGAGGAGACAGGAAAAGGGTTAAAAAAATGTAAAATTGAGCATTGTCTTTTGCAGGTTGCATTAATAGTAGTCTGCAACCAGATTTCAATTTATTTAAATATCCTATTATCTAAAACATTATGTATTCAGCCATTCATATTTGAATCTGTTTGCTGGTTTACTGTTGAAGTATCTCATGCTGTAACTATTCAATTAAACAATCTGAATATAATAGATGTTGGTAATGACAGGAAAGTTTTCTCTTCTATAGGTACAAACACTTGGGATAGATTTGAGCTCCGTGTACACAAGCGGGTGATTGACCTTGTTAGTTCCTCTGAAGTGGTGAAGCAAATCACTTCCATTACAATTGAACCGGGTGTTGAGGTCGAGGTTACAATTGCTGACCCATGATTGCGTTATTGTCTTTTTTTTTAGCTCTTCCTTTTGTTTCCCAGGTTCTGCCCCATAGTTGTAGAGATTTTTTGCTTGTTTCCGACAGGAAGCTGTAAATAGCTTCCAGTCTTTTAACATATTCAGAGGAATTGATCTTATTTAATCCTTTTTATATATATATATATATATATATATATATATGACGGGTTGTGATTGCAATGATATAACTGATATAGTGAAAAATTAAGATGCTCTAACCAGCTTGATTTTTACCACGTGGAGAGGGATTTGGCCCTATCATGCGCAAGACTGGTTGGTTGTAATGATGAGTAGTTGCAGTATAAGATTGTTTATCTATTGCTGTGCTGCATGCCCTAGCAACATTATTGGTAGGTAGAGCCGTAGAGTGCAATTAGCAAAATCCAGCAATTTCAAGGTACGCTGGAAGCAAGGTTATGGAAAAAAAACATGGTATAAAAAATTCAGCAAAACAAATACAACAGGAAAAAGGGAATTTGTTGTGTAATAGGTTGACGGGTTCAAATTTATTACAAGTTATTGATAGTTAGGTCAGATGCCATTTGGTTTATGTTGCAAGAATCAGAGGCTCTAATTCTAGTCAAATCCCACCCTATTGGTTTGATATTGATCTTTATACAATAATTTCAAAAGCAGGATCTATCAGATGCTGGTCCGGAATGTCTAATCAACACCTTTAGTTGGGGGGGGGCATGTATAAGATCAAGCCATTTGGGGTCATTTACTTAACTTTACCTAATGTATTTACTTAATGGGTCATATCTACATCCACAAAAGTACAAAGACGTCCCCTGTGCTTTGTCGTATCTTACCTTAAACACTCCCTGTAATTTAAGGTTACACCCGTTTTACACTTTTACTTATTGTTCTCTGTCAAAAGGCGTTCTGCGTTTGTATTTTCACTTGGAAAAGGTCACGTGACTGTCAAAACACAAAAAGTGCATGGGACCACGATTTTTTTATCCCAAAAATGTCCCTAGCAACTAGCAATTCCCATACGATACGATACGATGGTTGTATATGGTTGAGGAAACCGCATTGGCGAAGAGGTGGCGCCATTGACATTGAAGCGTTTTTTCACGAGGTCACACCTTTGAAGCTTGGGGAAGCCACACACACGATTGGGGTCAATGTGTCTTTTCATTTTCCTTGTTTTTTCTTCTCTGCCCAAATAAATCTCCATTTGGTCTCCATTACCTGGCTTCTTTTCATTTTTACTCTTTATTCTTCCTCTCTTGCAAATAATGTTGGAAGTAAGGTTCAAAGTATTGACATGTATCGGTTCATATCGGCCGATATGTATTGTTTTGGAACTCCTTCAATATGCCCCTATAGTGGATGTATCGGGGTTTCACTGATTCAGGGGGTGGAGGAACTCTAAACTGCCCCCCTTGAATTGGTATACGCCCCCACCGGTGTATCGGACATATCAATATTTTGAACCTTGATTGAAAGTAACAACAATAACATAGGTGTGGTTTTCAAGCCATTTAATTAGCTTTGGATTTTCTCACAAAGAAGCAATACAAAGAATATAGGCGGTAGAAAGTCTAACCCATGATTCAAAGCATATTTGTGAGTGGCACTCCTCAATGATGAAAGTTGTAGCGGTAGAAAGTCTCTGAAAATGTGGGAGGATTGGACGTTTAGTCTCTACATCACAGATAAAGAGTGGCACTCCTCAATGATGAACTTTATGCTTCACGGTTTTGATCTCTGAGGCAGTGTCAGTCACTGACTTTGATTCCCATCTTGACCTGAAAGTTGTAGCCATATCATGAGCTTCAACAGCAGCCCAAGCCTTGCAACACTGACCTACACCCAGATCTCCCCCCTTCTTCTTTCTCACAATACATCAACTGCTGCCAAACCATCACTTTTCCCTGATGGATCCAAACATTACCTTAACAAAGAAATCATGAGGAACAGACTATCGCACCCACATGCACTGGGTTCTCTTTTCCTTTTTGTTGGGTCTTATGACCTCAATAAATTCGTTTAAATATATCATCCCTAGCCTTGTTGTACAAGATAGCAGGGAGAAAGAATGGTATTCTTAAACACTGTTACTGTATTCATTTACTTGCCTCTTTTGCCAATGGATGATCGATTTGGATCGGATGGGGTCTTACAGACCTTGATGCTTGCTTTTTTTTTTTTTCAGAAAACATACTACTAGAACAAAAGATAGAAACCACCACAAAGAAAGACCAGATACCACCACCACAGGCCGAATAGACTCAAGCCAGGACTACTAACTAAAACACAATGGACACCAATAAACAGAATTCCAATTCTCCAAGCACCTCAGAAACAGAAAAAGGTACAGCAACTAACTTCCTAGACTCAACAATAACACTATGACCACCCAAATCAACAACACCACCTTTCAAATTTGGAAGGGAAAAGCATTATCATAACAGAGAAAGGACCTGAAAAATCCTTCTTTGCTAACTCATGGTCAGTAGCATTCCTTGACCTATCAAAAAGACAACTTCTCAAATGCTCACTAATTCTTCCCAACTTCCTACCGTTCCATTTCGGTAGTTCCCACCTCCATACATGTTTCAAAATTCTTCTAAAATTATCCCTCCATCCCTTCGATTAAAAGATGACCCATCTTTTTCCTTTCCTCTGTTTCTCTTTATCCTTTTTAAATTGATTTATTTATTACTCCTTCCTATCATTCCTTCAATTATTTCATCATATAACGTTTCCCTATCCATTGACTCCACCTACAGTGACAAAAAAATGATAAAACAGATAATTTTCAAACGGGATGTAGAACGAACACAATTGACACAGGCCAACAACATTCACCTTTCACAAGTTCCAAAACCCAGATCATCACCCAATGTTCTTCAAAAACAAGAGCAATTGTCGTCAGTTATCGTGCCTTTTCCTCTACTTCCAAGTTCGAACAACGTTTCCTTACTGAGTGCCGCCAACTGGTTGCAAACTATAGGGATGTTTTAATAAAACACAAACTACAGGATAGGTTTTAGTAAATACATGGGCTGTTTTAGTAAATGATCCAACCATTTGCCTTTGCAAATTTGCAATACCGTTGGAAATGAGAAATCTATGTTTTCTAACCCGGTTTTAAGGTCTACGGTTTTACTCTATTAGGGGTATATTGATCCTATAATGATATTGTGACATGTGGCATTGTAGAACAATAGAGTGACATCTCAGCACTATATAAGCAGACCCCAGGAGCACTTTGGACATTTAACAACTGTTTTGACGACCTCAGCACCACTTTGGTAGGCCGAACTGCGAACAGCCAGACTGGACCTCAGGTTGGTGTACGAGGCGACCTGCTTCCACCGATTTGACCTGACTCCCGATAGCTACTTGCCTTACATGTCGAGCGACCTTCCCCACAAGCAGGCTATCGCCTCTGAATTCCTTGAGATCATGATGCCATGCTAGAAGAGCCGGTTATCGCCCTACCTGCTTTGGGTGGGATTGGATAAACGTTGCTCGCTTATGCGGAATCCACTTACAAGCATGAAACCACCTTCGAACCAGACAGGCCGGAGATCTCAAATGCGTTTCATGAGGCTCATGACAACTCACCTATATAAGGGCCTCTCCTTCAACCTCACAAGGTAAGTGCGATTTAGCTCTCACAAATCTCTAGCTCTTTCGCTTTCTTGCAAACAACTACCATCTCGCTAACTTAAGCATCGGAGTGCCCACCCTGGGTCAAGCTACCCAGACACTCTAATAATCACTTTCTTGTAGCTCGACTAGGTGAGAAAAAAACCAAAAAATCGGTTAATTGAACCGATTGGTTTTCTATTCTAGACAAAATCCAGTGCAACCCACAACAATTTTGAGGGTCCTGTTGGTTTTCTATTCTAAAGAAAAGAGAGGGAGAAAAAGAAAACTTTCATTAAAGTCCAGTGCCTTTGCCGTCTCATCGCGAGACATCGGATCTACCCTAGTGGGCTTGTAGGTCCAATTAGCTCGACTGACTATGATCTAAATTCAGAATTCCAATGGGACCCACATGGGTTGACAATATGTGTTGAAGAAAAAAAGAAAAAAAATAACAGTAAAATAAAATGCAAACAAAAAAATAAATAATTAAATGAAAAAACAAAAAAAAGTTTTTATATATACAATAATAAGTTATAAAACAAATAAATAAATAAATATAAGTAAAAAAAGTAAAAAAAATCAATCAAAATTGAGAGAAAAAGAAAAGGGTAAGGGTACAAAGAGAGGAAATAATGAATAAGAGAATAAGAGAACATCAATAATTTTCAAACAAGTTCTAATAAATATCAAGAGAAAACCTCATATATTGCTTCAAGAAATAAAAAAAAAACAAAAAGAAAGTAAAAAAATGTAAAATATAACTAATAAAAAATATAACAATAAAAATAAAAAAACAGAAAATAACAAAGAAAAATAATGTAAATGGGGCATGGCAAGTAAAATAACAAAATATTCTTTTGTATGCTTTGATGAAAACATGTGTGCTAGTTGCTAATGATTGACTATATTCTTTCTTAGAGTGAAAATTGAAAAAGAATAGTTGAAGTTTTTGTTCCAAACTCGTAGTAACCCAAATAAGATACTTAATACAAGTGTTTAGATTTGAATCAAGGTTTTTCCTCAGTTTTAGTGTGTTTTGAAAATGTTTTCTCAATTTCTTGTTTTCATGATAGAGGTCCACTTCGTTTGCATCTTACTACATTTTTCATTTCCTTAAGCCTAGTTAGCTATAGAGGCAGTGAGGCACCAACAACTTTTCCAGCCACAGAGTAATCTTGGGCCATTGTCATAAACTGCTTTTTCTTACCATCCCTATTTTGCTCATTCCCGTTCTAATGCAAATGAAGCCTTCTAAACCAACATCCATCATGTTCAACTCCTTAACACCCGCCTTTCCATTAATACCCTTGGACTCATTGGTTAGACAACCATCTCATAGCAACCTACTCTCTTCATAGGTGGTTGACCCACTTCCAACTTCATGCATATTTCTTTATATGCCTAGGTGTTCACCCCATCTGGTTCTGAACTAGGGACATGCCGGTTTTACTGTTGTTTTCTTGTTGTTTTGTTGTCATTGCAATTTTTTTTCGCATCCATTTAGCATTTTGCATATCCTGCCTTAGTGGCCTTAGGTAAAATCTCCCACTACGTAGCCCTTAGTAGTTTTCTCATTCCCTTTAGTTGTCCAATTTTTAATAAAAACCAAAAAAGAAAAATAAAT